CACATGGGCGAGTGAACTGTGCCTGAGCTGAGCTGCCAACATGTGGCAGGATGGCTCAGCTGGTGAGAGCATGTGCTCCTAACAACAAGGTTGCCAGTTTGACTCCCACATGGCATGGTGGGCTATGCTCACCCGCAACTAAGATTGAACACGGCACCTTGAGCTGAGCGACCGCAAGCTGCCGACGGGAGGCTGGATGGCCACTGGACTTGGAGCTGAGCTAGCTGCACCCTCCACAACTAAGATTGAAAGACAACAACTTGGCTGTTCCCCTTCCCCAATTCCCCAATAAAAATATTTGAAAAAACAAACAAAAATAACAACAAGAAAACCTTATACTCCAGAGGAAGTAAATATACACATATGAAATAATTCCACAAACATATAATTACAAACTATGAAGAAATTATAAAGGAAAAGAACAGAATAACATGAGAGAGGAACCAGGAACCAGGTATAATTTGGTAAAGTTTAGAGGAGAATTGAAGGAATGTATCTTCCAATGAAATTAAAAGGTATACAGTATGGGAAAAACAAAGTTAAAGAGGGCAAAACAAAAGTTTGAGAAAATCTTCCAACATTAAAGAGAAAATAAGAATAAAATAAAATAAAAATAATCACAGATTTATTAGAGATAGTGCATGTAAGAACAAACAATTTATTAAAGGCTTTCTAATTACAATTATTTGAAGTGAAAAGATATTGCATTTATATAAGTAATAACAGAGAGCTACAAAATTGGAAAGTTTAATAGAAAGATTGGAAAAGTAAATCAAGAAAATCTCCGCAAAATTAAAAAAAAGACAAAGAAGGAAGGGCTGGCCGAGTGGCTCAATTGGTTAAGAGCTCGCTCAAGAGTTTGAGCTCTGAGAAATAGCGGTTCGATGCCCGGCCTGAGCTGAGCTGCCACTGAGCTGCCAAAAAATGGCAGGATGGCTCAGCTGAGAAAAAAAAAAAAAGACAAAGAAATATAATATATGGTAGAAAAGATAAGACATAGAGAACAGACCCAGGAAGTCCAACATCAAATTAACAGGTCTAGAGAGAAAACAGAAATGAAGGGAGAAAGTTATCATAAAAGTTATAAGAAAAACTTTTCCTGATGTTGAATGACCTAATTCTTTACATAAAATCGGTCTGTCAGATATTTAACAAAATTAATGAAAAAAGGCTCAAATGTATCATTTTTTTAAATTTCAGGACCTCAAAAGTTAAAGGAAGATCATAAAATAGCCCAGTGAAGAAAAATAAAACAAACTGAACAGAGAAAACAATCAGACTGTCAGACACTTCTATCATTAAGATAATGAGAAAACTCTGGAAGTTTTAAAGGAAAATTATTTTCTATTAATAAGCGTACACCTGTTCAAAATCACAATAAGATATGAAGAAAGACTAAAAGTACTGATAGACATAAAAAAATCTAAAATTTACCTACCACACATATTTATATTGGAAGTTGATTAAGAGTATAACTTAGTAAAGTGAGGTAGTTCGTTATTCAGAAAATAGAAAGGCAAGGAATGTAAGAAACAGTGGGTTCAACCGAGAATGTCAGTGAAAAGAGATCCTACTACAGCAGCTCCATGGCAAGCCTAAAATTGTTGACTACATAAGTGATATAAATTAATGAACAACTTTTTTCCACTTTTAGAATTAGGCCATGTTCAAAGCCCAAAGACAATTATTGTTACAGCAAAATGTTGCTATTTTCAGCTTCGACAATATATATTTTTAAAAGGTGCAGATACCTCAATTTCACAAGTGTGTGTGTGTGTGTGGGGGGGTAAATGAGAGGGGAAAGAAAGGGTTAGTGATGCCAGTACCTTCATATTTCAAGAAGGGGGATAAAAGACATTAGCCATACAAAAATAAATATATTTAAATTACAATAGAAACTGAAAGAAGAATTATGTAAGATGACTCATGAATTAAAGAAGGATTTTAGAAGTTGGGCTGTTATGCAATCACCAAAAAGGTCTTAGCCTAACACCCAGGGAGTTCTGAAGCTGCAGAGCCCTTCAAAGTTGGCCCAAGATAGGGCAGAGCTCAGGGCCTTCCCACTGAGCAGTCACTGGACATATGTTCCCCCTGGGAAAGAAGGTGAAATCAGCTGAGACAGCTCTCCTCACCTAAGGTAATTCCAGCAGCAACATGCTCAGCAACTAAGGGAATAAATCCTTAGTCCTAAAGGGAAGAATCTAGGTGGATCAAGACAGCATCCCCTACAGAAGCGCTATTCTAGTCACTGGGAATACATGTATTTTTGGGTGGAAGAAAAACGAATGTTTTTAAAAATTCATCATCACTTAACTTTCATTAAGTCAGTGACTCACCCTTTTGACTTAGGAACTTTGCTCCTTCAGTTAAACATTCCATTATAGTCAGGAAGGGCAATGTTGCAGTAAGATCTTAACCTGCAGTGAAAATTGAATCTCAGAGGCTTAGTTCAATAAAAGGGACTCAATTCCATAGTCACTCAGGGGACTCAGATTACAGAGTTTCCAACATTTTGTGCACCCTCACCTCAACAGTGGCTTCCAGAGGAAGACAAGGCAGAGCTTACACCCACATTTAAGTTCCATTGGCTGGTACTAGTCACATGACTCCAACCTAACAGCAGAGGAGGCTGGGAAATGTGCAGCTATGGAGTATTGGTGAGTGCTACTGTCCCTAGAAGACATACTGAGATGATTGAAGGTAAGACCAAATGCTCATGACTAGTAGGTTACTGTCTAGCGCACCCATACACTTTTATCCATGGTATATGCCTACTAAGACTCAGGGATTTTTTTGTTAGCAAAATTGTATATAAAAGATGTATTTGTTATTATAATTAAATAATCAATTAAAAATGAAATCTGGGTGCTAAACATAGCTGTTTCTATGAAACTGTCACTGGAAGGGAAGAAGGCTCTGACACTTTCATTAAGAAGGAATCTCCCAGCATGGGACCAGTGTGACAATGTTGAACTGTCAGAATGTCCCAGCATACACTCTACCACTCACCCTTATAGTAGGGCTTACGTTTCAACTAAAAAATCAGATTTCAATATCTCCCTAAATTCTGTCTGGTTCAGCATCCAGCCCTGCCTCTTGCCTTTGCAGAGACAAAAGCAAATAGCTGCATACAGACAGCGAGGGCTCCCTGGTCACCCAACACAAGTCCTTCCACTTCCCCAGGGGTGTCACTCCATCTTTACTCATATAGTGAGTGACAGTGCCGACCCTGAGGAAGACGACAAACCAGCACAAAAACTCCAAGTACTCAGCATCTTGTTCTAGGCAAGTTCAGACTCTGATGATAGGGAACAGAATCCCAAGTACCACTGTCTGTCCCCACGCCCCAGTGTCCCCGGATTACAGGAGATGAAGGAAGCCTGGCTCTCCATTCTGACCTCATCCAGGACAGGGAAGGCCCTGTCATCGGCTCTTCAGGCCCAGGAAGCTCTGCTAATTGTCATATGGGGTCCACCAGAAACAAACTGCCTCTATACCACTCCACTGGAAGGGGTTCTGGAGGCTGGGGTGTCCACATGGCAGGTGTAGACATCGCCCCTCCAGCAACACAGGAGCTGGAAAATCCAGTCCTTGTTCCCAGTAAGTGTGATGAGCACAATGCTGACTGACTGCCTCCCACGGACAGGGTGATGTTTTTGTTAAGTGTGACTGTTACGCAGGTTGAGCCAATCAGAATCTTGGCTAAAATGGTTAAAATTCTGGCAGACACTCTAGAAACACATAACAGAGACAGACAGAGAGACAGAGACATATACACAGAGAGAAACAGAGATGGGATTAAATGTGAGGTGATGAAAAAGAAATGCAGAAAACAGATGCAAAAAGAAACACAGGGATAAAGAGATGCAGGTAAATAGTGGGATAAGTGCAGACAGAGAAAAATGAGAAACATAGGAGCAGCGATGCAGTGAGACCCAGCAAAGGAGACAGAGACAAAGATGCAGAGAAACACACTGATAGAAATAAACAGGGATGAAGAGAGTTAAACAGAGAAAGGCGCACAGATGTAGATAAAACAGAGACGAGAGAGATGAAGATCTCACTGAATGTAGGGACTTAGTCACTTTTAAAATGAACTTGACACCAGGCTGACTTGTAACATGAACAAAATACATTCGTGTTGGATTTCTATAATTTGAAACCAAAAATGGTGCTTTTATTTCTGGTTATACTTTCTCAAAAATGAAAATTGACCTCACTCAATGTGACTTGCCAGGATATACTTGAAATACCAGCGACCAGAGCCCACTGTATGAGCCTGCAAACAACTCTACTATCCTTACTTACATTCTCATCAGACTGGACGAAAGGCAGCATATTCTTTGTTTTTCTTTCAAAGATTTTTATTGGGGAGTTGGGGGGATGGGAACAGTGCTGGGGAATTGGGGGAAGGGGAACAGACAAGTTGCTTTCATTTTGTTCTTCAATCTAGTTGTGGAGTACGTGGCTTCACTGGCCCAAGTTGGCACCATCATTGCGCTCTTCCCTGGCGAGGCAGATCAGTTGCCGGCATCTGGACAGCCAATCAGGTGGCTGCTGGCTGCTCATGCTGGCTGCTGGCCACTCATGGTAGCTTATGGCAGCCCACTGCAGCAGGGGCTGCAGCCTACGCTGTCGCCAGCAACTCACAGCAGCCCAGCTCCAGGTTTAGCTGTTGTTCAGCATCTTAGCTGTAGAGGGCAGTGTCACTGGCCCTCTTATGTGGGATCCGATTTGGGGCCCTCTGGCGTCCCAAGCCAGTTCTTAACCAACGCGCCACTCGGCCGGCCCAAGATGCAGCATATTCTGAGGCCACTGCACTCAACATCAGTACTAAAGAACCAGGAAGGGTGTTACTATTGAAATGATTTTCTGTCTCCTCTTTCCACCCTTACATGGCACCCCAAGATGCTTCTAGTCTCCTTTCAAGGAACAACCCCTCCTTCTGGTCCCAAGTTGGTTGGGTCACCTCAAAATATGTTCTTTTCATTCTGCATTGCTTTCCTACCTCTGCTCATTTAAGGAGGTTCAGGATACAGATAACTCATAATATGTTTAATTATAAAAGCTATAGATAGGTAAATGGTTTCAATATGCTTCTCTTGAACAGTCTGTGTTGGGGGAGAAAAGACACAGGAAAACGCCGTGGGGCCTGAGCAGATGCTGCTGGGAGGCTCCCAGGGTCAGTACAGGAAGCAGCATGACAGGCAGATCCTTGGGGTGGGGGTCACAGGAGGTGACCTGAGTCCATCAGTGTCAACATAGGACTCAGGTCTCAGAGGGACAGGCTGACAGGCAGCTGGGGATTCTGGGCAAGGAACAGGCAGGCATTTCAGACGAGAGAAGACCAAGGCCAGTCCAAGTGTCCTCGGGAGTCAGTGCAGGAGCCCTGCAGGAGAGAGTAATTGGCACGGGGCACCCTGAGGGACATTCTCTCCCCTCCCCTGGGGCCCTGCAGCATCAGACAGAAAGCTAAGGTCCAGGCCATGTCGTCATCACCTCCCCCATGTCAGTGCAAAGGTGAAATCAGCTAAAGAGGACAGGGCACATCAGCTCAACGTAAATGTGTGGGAGGCTGGGGAGTCGCTGTTACGCTTCTGTGGAATATGATTTCACTCTTTTTAGTAAATTAGGTGATAACCACCTTCCTTCCACCACTGGTAAATAGCCTCTTTCAGTCACTTATAAATGTCCACAGGCAGTGGCCACCAATATGTGGCATGAAGTGGGCATCGTCCTGGTGTCTAACACCCAAGACGGGCTCTGGCTCCAAGTTTCACAGAAAGATGCCACCAAAGTTATGGCCTGGTTCTGGATGACAAGCCTGGGGATTCCTACAGAAACTAGGCAGACTGCTCCCCCAACTCTCTATCCTGTGGCAGGGAACAGGCCATGAACCAGACAGCTGTGCCCAGGTACACTCACCTCATGCCCTCCTCTCTTTTATCAGTCACCTCCCCCCACCAATGAATAGAGTGGAAATAGTACCTGGCAGGGGCCCACGAAGACCTACAGAAGGAAGATACACAGAGAAAGATCTCATTACACAAACAGCCAGGTCCTCAGTCACCCCAAAGGGAAATGAGGTATGCAATTTAATTGGAAACTTATTTCCTCACTGCCCATAACCACAGGACTTAACTGTCCTAAGCTAACCACCCGCCCCACACACACCAAATGAATGAAACGATCACTAGAAGGAAGAAAAGACAATGGTCTGATCCTCTTAAGAGAAGAAGCTTCTGGAAAGGTGCCAGTGAGATAATAATGACCTGTAAGGAAGTCCTGGAATACACTCCACCAGTCGCCTCTGTGGTAGAGTGGCCTTTCAACCAGTAAAATCAGAGTCCAGTGTCTCCCCCTAGGCTGCTCTGTCTCCCCCACGACCACCCACCCAGCCTCCTTCCTTCCTTTCAGGGTCAGGAGGTAAGAGTTACACCTACAAGCAGAGACCTCCCTCAACAGTCTCAGTCACAGCTCACCGTCCCCAGGTCCCAGAGCTCCTCACCCTTCTGTTTCCGGTGACAGATGACAAGGCCCAGCCCGAGGAAGAGCAGCCCCAGCACGAAGCCCCCGACGCCACTCAGCATCTTGCTCTGGGCGGATTCAGACTGTGCTCCTGGAGGGCAGAGCCTGAGTGTCAGCCTTTGTCCCACACCCACAGGGTCCCTCTGGGAAGCCTGAGTTCGGCCTGAGGTACAGGACGGGGATGTGCCAAGGGAACCTAGTTCTCCATTCTGACCATCCCCTAGAGGAGGACCAGACCACAGATCCGTGGACACTGTTGGGCGGGTGAGAGAAAGTGGGAAGCAGACCCCTGCTGCTCAAGACACATCCTAACCTTAGGCCCTAAGACCCCAGTCACCAGCTGTAACAGTCAGTCCCTCAGAGCTACCAGGCTGGGTTCTGGGGCCATGGTGTATAGTGACCTCCTAGTGACTGCAAAGGCAGTGAGGTTGTGGTTCTTCCGATGTCCCTGCCATGGCACAAGAGGCATTCTAGTTCCTGGAATTTCCAGCTCAGTGGTGACACCAGGGACGAGGGAAGGGATGAGATGGGCTGGGGCAGCTCTGTCTCATGGGGCCCACAGTGAAAGGAAACAAACTGCCCCTTACGCCACTCCACCGTGATGGGGCTCTGGAGGCTGGGGTGCTCCACGTGGCAGGTGTAGACGTCTCCTCGCTGTGGGGTCATTTCCAGCATCACCAGGATCTGGAACGTCCAGTCCCCATTCCTGATAAGGGGGGTGGACACGATGCCGGCTGTCTCCTCCTGGCCATTCCGGAACCACCGGACTTTGATGTGGCCTGGATAGAAATCTGTCACTGCGCAGACAAGCATATTGTGGTGGTTTAGAGCCTCTGTCTTGGATGGGGAGATGGTCACTGTAGGTTCCACTGTGGGGGAGTAACAGACAGGAGAGGACATAGTGAGATTGAGACCACACGGCACGCCTCCCCATGGGGCGGGGTCCTCCTTGGAACCAGAGATCTCCTGATTCCAACTCTTGGATTAGGATCTGAGCTGGGCTACTGTATCAGCTTCAATAAACACATTAGTTAGTTAACTTTTCAGTCTCCAGAGATAATACTAGTCTTTCTATGGAAGTTATTCTGTTGATACCAATTGATAAAAGTGAAATACTTTAAAATTGTAAATTGTTGTATTATACAGGCTGCTATTCATGAAATTTTTTAAAATAAATATAATGAACCTGGACTTCTTTCCCCCACACCTAGTGAAGGTGACAATCAGGATCAGCTCTAGTGTGTCACACTAGGGCAGTGACACTGTTTTCTGTTAGTCCCAGTGCTCCTCATGGTAGAGAAAGAACATCAGTTTTGAGTCTCCCGCTGGCCATGAGAGCATCTACACAAGTCATGCCCAACGAATAGTAACATGGACTGAGAATTAAGAATGTATAGACATTTCTATGTCCAACAAAGTAGGACAACTGTGACATCACATCCTTCCTTCAAAGTGATACTTCTCACGCAGGTTATATTCCATAATTCTCAGCATGGAATACTAACGGAAATTGAGAGCAAGGGCACTTCTTACATGTTGCCCATCAACAAAGCGTCTCTCTCAGCTTTTAGCCTAACCTTAGCTCAGACGCTATTCTGTGTGGTAAACTCCCTGTAAAAGTTTATATTATTAAATACACAAACTTCCATCTCTACATCATATATGCCACCTATATTTTATTCACTTGTTGATTCATTTACTCATTCATTCAACAAACATAAATTTAACAAGCACTGGGAACGGTGCTTTACAGAATTTGCAATCTAGTAACAGAGACAAAAAGAAATGTTTGTTATTATTAAAAAGTGTTTATTATGTACCAATATTAGCATATTAGAGTGGTGATGCTAATTCCTAACACACAAGTAGTTGTGAAATTAAATAGCATAAGATAGGTGGTGCACAAGGTAAATTGTCTAGAGATAGATGCTCATTAAATGGTTGGAATTAACTTTCAAAATATCTATCCCTAAAGTGGACGGTGATGCTGGGGGGAGGCGGGAAGGGGGAAAGAGGATAGCCCTGGGTCAAAAGAAACCTGAAATGGTTTTTATTCAATATTTTAATAGCATCAATTCATTATTCCAAAACTTCAGCTCTATTGGGCCATTTGTTGAGCTTTTCTAAGAGATTTAAATTCTGTATTACAGCACCATTCAAAGTGTTGTTGTTTCTTAGCAAAGACTTTTCCTCAGACTTTGTATTCACAAATTCTAAATTATTAAGTTCGAAGTCAAGAAGAGTTTACTTTAATGCATTAAGCAAAATGGGTACAAAATAATTAATAAAGTCAGTTTTTAAGGTTCTACTTATCCTCACACTGTGTCAGTCATGTGTCAAGTACCAGGCAGACAACTGGCAGTCCCTCCCCTCAAAGAGGCCCAGGACTAGTGACAGCCATTTAAGAAAACAGAATTGAGACGAATACTAATTTGACACCGATGTCAGAGTACAGTAAGCCCCGACTCTAACACATCCCCCCGTGTGCGAGGTGCCCGCCCGCAGCGGGGCTGCAGCCCTAACCGCGGGGCGTCCTGTCCTTCAGCTTCGCGGCGGCGGGAGTCGGAGCCGGGCCTTGCGGGGCGCTCAGAGCCCAGGCGGGGCCGGGGCGGGGGGCTCGCCGGGCACGGGGCACCCCCTGGGGGACCGCGAGGGACGAGGAGGCGAGCACAGCTCAGGCCCAGGTGGGGCGCGGAGTTAGCGGGAGAGCAGCGGGGAGCGGGGCCTCACCGCCAGGTCCGGCCGCCTCTGCCCGCGCTTCGGGGGCCGGGGACGCGCACCCC